CACTCCATGCATTTATATGGTTTCTCTCCTGAGTGGATCTTTTTGTGGCTTCTAAGTCCACTGCTATGAGTAAACGTCCTTTCACACTCCATGCATTTATACAGCTTCTCCCCTGTGTGAATCCTTTCATGGGAAGTAAGATTACCTCTTTGAGCAAAGGTCTTTCCACACTCTATGCATTCATATGGTTTCTCCCCTGTGTGGATCCTTTTATGGATAGTAAATTGACTGCTTGTTCTAAAACATTTTCCACATTCCAAACATTTATAAGGCTTCTCTTTTGTGTCAATCACTTTTTGAGATGTAAGGAAATTATTTTCAGGAGAAAGAATGAATGTCCCATTGTAATTTTCTTCCTTGTGTCTTCTTATAGGATCTTCTCCTTTGTTTTGGGTTAAATAGTGTTCATTTATTTGTACTTTAGCTTTGATTAGCTTCACACTTTTTCCAGTATATTTTTTTCTTATTTTCCCTTGTTGGGCAAGAAAGTCTTGCATTGGAGCATCAGTGGAAGATAAGTTTTCCTGATTCCAATTCTTTGACTGGTTTCTCTTGTTGCTTTCGAATTCCATTTGAATTCCAAACTTCTCCGTTCCATCTTTAGCATTGATCACTTGGGACAGTTCAGAGGAATCTTGATTCTCCTGTCCATTATTACCTTCAAAGCAAAAGAGAAATGAAATGATAACAAGGTTAGAGAAAAAGATCAAAGTGTAGAAAGTCAAGTGAAATTCTTTCTGAAGTTCTTTGAAATTCCATTAGGTTGTATGTTTGCATGCCTACAGTGGTGTGATATAGACATGATGGTTTCTATATTCATGAGTTATGAAAGCTTTGAAAATATATAGAAAACATCTCTTTCTTTACAATTATCAATATATATGCAAATCTCAATCATAATCAGTTTTGAGTTAAGGAATAATCTTAGGTGAAACATCCAAGGAGGAATTAGGAGAAAACTTGAGATTTATTGGGGTGGCTTAATTTCAACAGAGACCTGTGAGAAATGAAACAATTTTGAAACAAGCTCCTTCTTCCATGGTGTACCCTGCAGCAGCTGCTCCACGAAACCCCTGCTCGGTCTGTTCCTCGATCCCAGCAACGAGATTTTGGAATGAAATCTTTTATTTGAAGCCTCCCATTGCCTTGTAAACTCTCTTTGCACTGAGACTGGAAAGGTTGGGATGCTTCAAGAATGGCTATTTCACTGCCCCAAAGCCCGATCGGCGTGCAAGGGCTCTTTGGCCGAATCTGGAACATTTCGCAGAGAACGGAGGTCTAATTACTTTAGTGCGAGATCACACAAAACCAGTAGCGCTAAGATATCAGGCTACTAATCTCGCCTGATCTCGCACTGCAGTACTTTAGGCCTCTGTTCTTTTAGGAACTGAGGACTGCACGAGATCCAGGGCAAAAGTCTTTGAAAATGAAGAGGGGTTCCCTCTGTTTGAAAAGCATTTTGCCCTGGATCTTGGGCAGTTCTTGGTTAGCAGAGAACAGAGGCCTAAAGCACTGTAGTGCGAGATCACGTGACATCAATAGTACTAGATTTCCCACTACTGATCTCACATATCTCTCACTACTTTAGGCCTCTTTTTTTTGAAAATGCACCAAAGTAGTTAAAGGAACCGATGGTTCACCACATCATCACAATGTACCATATTTTTTGGACTATAAGACGCACTGGATCATAAGATGCACCTAGATTTAGAGAACGAAAGCAAGTTAAAAAAAAGGTATTGGCCCCCGCGCGTCCCATTTCTGCCCTCTCCGGCGTCCAGATGCACTCTGCAGGACAAAAACAGGCCTGTTTTTGGTCCCACAAACCCGCTGTGCGTCCCATTTTCAGCCTCCCCAATGCCGGGGAGGGCAAAAATGGGTGCCGCAGAAGCCGGCGGAGGCAAAGTGCTTCTGGATGCCAGGGAAGGTGAAAATCGGACGCGCAGAGGGCTTAGGAGGCCAAAAACAGGCCCGTATTCATTCTATAAGACACACAGACATTTCCACTTTTTGGGTGGAGGGCGTTTTATAGTCCGAAAAATATGGTAAGTCCAAGCTGGGTGGGGGAATAGGTAGGGCAAATGTTGCAGAGCCTCTGCTGTCATCTATAAGTGTGAACGATGGGTGTGATGCTGCAACACTCATAATTTCGGGACTGGGTCTGAAGTACTTGGGGGAGAGCTGGTCGTAACTTGGAACGGTCACTAAGTGAACTGTTGTAATTGGAGATTACCTGAACCCTAGGATGCTCTGAGTCACATTGCATGAGGCCTTTGCTCTTGAATTGGATTGGGAGAAGGACACAAAAAAGCACTTTGTTCTTTTCAGCCTCCACAGAGAAGTTCAAATAGAAATGGAAAAATACAGAGAAGAAATGGCACAGAAAGCATCTAAGCAAAGAGACATTGACTCTTTCCTTCCTTGGAAGGCCTGATCTTTTCCTTCTCCCTCCCAGGAGACGATATTTGATTAGTGTTTTTTAAATTAAAAAAAAAACTGACTATAATCTGTCTTTTGGATTGGGGACTAGAAAACTCTTACCCAGAGAGACCACGTTCTTATAGTTTTCAAGCATGACTTCTGAATGCAGCGCTTTCTGGTCAGGATCCAGCTGAGACCATTCCTCCTCAGAGAAATACACAGCCACTTCCTCGAAGGACACAAGACCCTCCTGGACATGGAAAAAAGAACAGAACAGGAGGATTCGCAAGATCTGTTCATCTTCATCATTGATTTAGACAAGAGGACAGAAGAGGAATGTGTCAAATTTGCAAACAAGACCAAATTGACTGGAATACCCACACTCCAGAAGATAAGCTCAAGATATAGAAGGACCAACAGATTGGGCCCCATCTAACAAAATGAAATCAACAGTGAGAAATGTAAGGTTCTACATTTAGGAAAGGAAAACCAAATGCAATGGCATAGAATAGGTGATACCTGGCTCAATAGTAGAAATTGCAACAGGGATCTTGGAGTCCTAGTGGACAACCACTTAAACATGAGTCAGCACTATGCTCCAGTTGCCCCCCCCACCAAACCCTAGCAAAATTATAGGCTGCATTAAGAGGGATAGAATCAAGATGACATGAAGTGTTAGTACCACTTTATAATGCCTTGGTAAGACCACACTTGGAATATTATATCCAATTTTCATTGCCAGATATAAAAAAGTTCTTGAGACTCTAGAATGAGTGCAGAGAAGAGCAACAACTATTATTAGTGGACCGGAGGCTGAAACATATAAAGAACGGTTGCTAGAATTAGGTATGTCTAGTTTCATGAAAAGGACTAGGGAATGACATGATAGCAGTGTTCCATGAAGCAGGGGATGGAAACTATTCAAGGAGAGAATCAACCTACAAGTAAAGAGAAATTTCCAGACAGCGGGAACAATTAATCAGTGGAATGACTTCCCTCCAGGAATTGTCGGTGCTCAAACACTGGAGGTGTTTATGAAGAAATTGGACAGTGATTTATCTGAAATGTTATAGGGCTTCCTGGCTGAGCAGGGGGTTGGACTAGAAGACCTCCAAGATCCCTATCAAGTCTGTTATTCTGTTCTATTGTTCCCAAATTCCCACAGAGATATGCACTAAGTTAAATGGCTGTGGATCACACAAGGCCTAATTTTAGGTGAGCAAATGGGCAAATCTGAAAATTGCTTTCACTGAGGAAATATTTGGGGAAGTTTTATTAAGTTCATTGATTCTGCAAAACTTTCAGTGCCTTTCTATAAAGTAATCCGACTTCTGGATCAACTAATCTATCGCTCTGTCTATCATTGATTGACGTAGTAGTCTGAGCCATTGACTGAAAGGAAGAAAGCAAAGAAGAATAAATTCCCTGGGAAAGTCATTTCTCAGCCTTTGCAAAGCGGGACTGTTTGATCTCCTAATTGAGGCATAAATCAGAGGATTGGAAATTATTTTGTAGTCCAAAGTACCATGATTACATGCTCAACATGGCCACTCCCTTTGGATTTTAATAGTCTGCCTTATTTTTTAATATGATTTGCTTATTTTTGAACTACAGGTTATAAATAAGGCTTTTTAAAAATGGTAATGTGGCACTGTGACTATTTATTTTTCATTAACCTTGCACAATTCCAAGTCAAAGAATAACCAAAAAAGGTTCTCTAGCAGTTCCTGCCACTGTGATACATTTATTCCTATTTCTTAAAGGACTTTTAAAAAATTGCTTCTTGTAAACTACAAGTTGGAGGAGAATCTAGCAGAACAAGATAAGCAGAGGAAGCTATGCTGGCTGACAGCAACTTGAACCTGCTATTCTGCTCTCCATGTTGTGGAACAACACAAAAATAATCCAGGCCAAACAAGGGTGGGAATAGAAGGAGAGAGAACTATTCATACCCGCTTCACTTGCTGAAGGGACAATAGAAATCTAATATCTTTTCCCTTTCTTACTTGATTTGGAGGTTCAACCGCTGTTTGATCTCCCACATAAAAACCAGGAAGCTTCATTCTTTGTTTCTCTGTAAGGAATAAATAATTTCAAAATGCATAATTAACAAGATAGGAGGAGGCATTCTATAGAAGAGAAGGGAAGCAAAGATAAGACAGATGAGTAATCGGAGGAACTTCCATTACCTCCTGAGGTGTCCTGACTTGGATCTTCCCAAGGGATCCTCCTGAAAAATAGCTCCTGGGGGGGATTTGATGGGTTCTTCTTTTCCTCAGGATCTCTGATCTCCACAGTGCAGCCCTTCAAATAGGAGGAAGGAAGAAGCAGAATTAATGTACGTCACACAACATAAAGTGGATTCCTATATTCGGAACACAACCTCAAAGCCCCCAATATCCATCCGTGTGGCTGAGTGAGAAAACAATGGAACAATGTCCTACAAGAACTGGAGAATTGCTTCATATTATGAACATGGAGAACTTTGGGAAGGAGGGGTGAAGCATTCAAACACTCTATTTATTCCCTTCCGAGCTCCCTAAAGTCTCCCACCTGCCACTGGAGCTGCTCCATCTGCTCCTCCGCCTGGCTCAGGAGGAAGCCTTCCGCTAGGGCCACCGCCTGGGAGCTGCTCTCTGCTCCACACTCCCGCACCCAGCCCTCCATCTCTGGGGGCAGGAGAGCCAGAAGCCGCTCCAGAACCACCAGGTCCAGCATCTGGGCTTTGCTGTGCTTTCCTGGCCTCAGCCATCGCCTGCACAAGTCATGGAGTCGGCTGCAAAGTCCTCGGGGTCCCTCAGCCTCCCGGTATTGGATGGAGGTCCAGGGCGGAACTTCTGGAGGGAGGAGGGTTCCCTCCTGCAGGACCTTCTGCCCGGTTCTGGTCCAGCTCTCCCCACAGCTCCCAGGCTGAAGAGCCGCGGGGCCTTTTCCGCTCCCCTCCTTGGCCAAAGGGGGTATCTCCATCCTTCCTCTCTCTGGCAGAGCAGCTCCAAAGGGCTCCAGGTACTCTGGGGGGGTCTCCAGGGGCCTCTTCCTTCACGGGACCATTTCTGGGGCCGCAGGACGGATCCCTGCTGGTCCTACCGCTCTCCTTCCTTCCTTCCCCCGCAGAGGAAATCCTGGTTTGCAAAAGCTGCCGAGGGCTCGGAGGTTCCAGATCTGGGAGAGAAAAACCGACGCCCAGGATCAGAAAGGGGGATCCAGCCCCTGGATCCCCTTCCCCCAACCTGCAGGGAGCCCCAAGCAGCTCCTCCCAGCGCAGGGCTCAGCCCCGACCCGGAGCAGAGCTGGAGAGGTCGCCCCCCGCCACTTCCCTCCTCCTCCGGAGACGGGATCGGGCCCTCGGGGAGCCCGGTGCGAATCCTGCCTCCTCCTCCTCCTCGACCAGCTTCTCTCCTCCCCTGCTGGGCCTCCGCCAGCTCTGCCCTTCCTTCCCCTCCCCCCCTTTGGTGGAGAGGGCGGCTGGTGAGTATGGGATCCGGGAAGAGCACCCTCACCTGGAGCACGCCTGGATATCCCCCCACAATACTCTCCCGCAGCCCCTCAACCTCCTGAGGCGCCCCAGGGATTAAGGACAGCAAGTGCGGCATCCTAGAGAGGCAAGGCTCAGTGATGTCACTTCCTTCGCCGCCGCCGCCTCTGACAAGACAGCCGTGACGTTCGCCCTCCAGCGGCCCTATGGGGAAGCGCCTGGAGTTCCCTTCCCTTGGCGGAGGGCGCCCCCTGGTGGACTTGGGGCAAAGGGCCAGGAGGGTAGAAAGGGCGGGAAAGAGGAGCGTATGGGAGGGGGAAGGTGGGGATGATGGGTTCGGGAAAGGCTCCTCTCCATGGCTCCCTGTCAGACAAAGGCTTCGACGTCTATGTTTCTTTCCCCCCTTTTATATGAACCCAAATGCCCCGGAGGAGGTCTTTTTTCTGTGGCGTTTCTAGAGCGGTTTGGTTATTTCTTATCTATAAAGTGCAACTTCACCTCCACCTCTTTCATTCGGTCCGCTTCTATATTTATTGAGATGAGAAAAAAGAGAAATCTTTATGGAAATCCCTGAGATATTGGAAGATGCCACCATGTCTCCCCTCGTCCTTTTCCTCAGACCAGACACACCCAGTTCCAGCAATCAGGTTTGGTTTTTTTTTGTATCTTTTAGCCTCCATCTTTGTTGCTCTTCTCTGCACTATTTCTAATTTATTTGTTTATTATACAAAACAAAGAAAAATAATAATAGGAAATTGAGGGAAGAAGAATGAGAGGGGAAAAGAAAGTCTGAGGTAGAAGGGGAAAAAAAGGGCGGGGAGAGGTCTTTTTAGCCCAATGCAAGATTTAAAACAAAAAACAAAAACAAAAAACCATTCCAGCCTGACAATTCAATCTAATGGACGAAAGCAAAGTCATTTTGGGTCTTTTTCTTTTGAACCCTTTAAATGTGAAAATATCCCATTTAATGGCTGGAGAAGGAAAGCGCACAAAGGTGCCAAACTCCCCGTTGTGGCCGAGTGAGGGTAGGCTCCCGCCTGAGGGGATCTGCGCTCTGATTGGTTGCTGCAGGTGGAAAGGGGCGTTTCCTTTTCCCCCGCCTTTTTTTCCTCTGGGCTGTGAGATTTACCTCAGGATGTTCCTGACGCGTCTTTCAAGGAGGGGAGTTGCCTTTTTCTCCCCTGAAGCGAAGCGGAGCCTTTCCCTGGTTTAGTTGAGGATTTTCAGGGGCTTCCCTTTGGATTGGGGGGGGGGTGTCTGCCTCTCTACCCCATAGCATCCAGTGCGGCAGCTCTTCCTACGGCACAATCTTCACATTTAATTTTTCTCGGATTTTTGAGCTGGGCGGGTTCTCCCTGCATCAGTCTCTGGGCAGAATCCTTTGTGACTTCACCTGAAGGAGGAGGAGGGCGTTCGGGGCAGAGAGTGAAAGTGGGAGGGGGATCCCTTCAGTCTTAGGGGCTGCAGCTCAAGGGTTCAGGGCAGGCCCTGAGGGCACCCTTCACTTTCTTTGCTCTCTTCATGACTCTCTAGACTTTCCTCTATGTGCATGCAGGGCCGAACTAGATGTCCGTTTAGGTTCCCAAATTTCCCCAGGTTTTGTTGAGTTCAACAAAGCAGAAGGAAGGGAGGGACGGAAGAACAGAACAGCATGGAACAGAACAGAATAGAATAACAGAGTTGGAAGGGACTTTTGAGGTCTTCTACTTCAACTCCCTATTCAGGCAGGAAACCCCATACCATTGCAAGACCATCTCTTTAACAGATTAACAGAGCTGGAAGGGACGCTCTAGGTCATCTAATCCAACCCCACCCCCAAAAGCAGGAGACTCTGCACCATTTCTGACAGAGGGCAGTCCAGGCTCTTCTTGAAAGTTCCCACAACTTCTGAAGGCAACTCTTGTTCCTTTGGGTGATGGTTCTCACGGTCAGGAGGGAATCTCTCCTTAGTCAGTTTCCTTGTCTTCTTTCTCCTCCTGCCTTCCGGGGCTTTGGAGAATCGTTGACAGGGAGGAAGGGCCCCTACACCCGCCCCCAATTGAGATCAACAGCAACTGGGCTGCTACCGGTATTTGCTATTTGCGGTGGGTCAGAAAACCCCACAGTGCCGGAGGGGAAAGCGGCCCTCTGGCAGCCCCTTTGCCAGGAAGGGAGCCAAAGGCAGAAGATTCCGCTCAGAGACCACCCCCAAGTCCTCGCTGGCTGTGGGGCTGCGCCTTCCCTTCTCTCATCCACTGTCGTCCCACTCCACTACGGACCCTTGGGGGGAGAGCAAAAGGAATCCCCCACTCCCCTCCAGGGCTTGCATGGAAAATACCCCCCTTCCTCTTTCTCCGCTTCTCTCTCCACTGAACTATCTCCTCCATCGGGTGAAGTCAAGGGAGACTCTGCCCGGAGACTGATGACGCTGCAGAAGGGAGGATTCCCATTGGTGGTCCTGCTCTTTCTGGATGCTCCCAATTCAGAAGTTAGAGGAAAACTGCTCCCTCCCCCATCCAGAGGCGCCCCCCCTCTCCCCCATTACACCTCTGGGGATGGGAGCCTCTGTGTCTTCCTCCCCTCTCTTTGGGGGCGCTTGTGGAGCGGCATCCATGGGCTCTGCTGGGCTCCTTCTGATGCTGCTGGTGGGGGTGCTGGGCCAGATCCCTGGAAGCGAAGGGGGGAAGGAGACCCCCTAAAGAGGGGTCTGGGGGGGAGGAGAGGGGCTGGGAGAGGCTGTCAGGGCTCCTGGGGGAAGAAAGGGGCTGAGAGATCTCAATGGTGGGGAAAGGGGTCGAGGGCAAGAGGGGCAGGAGCCTGAGAAGCCTCGATCTCCGCGTGGTCTCTGCTCCCTCCCTCGCCCCACTTCACCCAGGGAGATGAAGAGGGATCGCCCTCTCCCTTCCTTTTGACCATGGGGGGGGGGGTCGTGGGAAGGGGCCCGAATGAGATGAGACACAGTCAGACTCCCCTTGCCCCCACACACACCGGTCAAATCATATAAAACAGACAGGCTGAGCTATCAGTACTCAAGGGCTGTACACTATGGGGAGAGTGGTCATACCCCCCCCCCCCCAAGAAACAAAGTACTGACACTGCTACACGAGGGTCACCCGGGGATAGTCCACATGAAAGCCCTGGCCAGAAGTTATGTGTGGTGGCTGGGGCTGGACAAAGAAATAGAGACCTGGGTCTCCACCTGCACCCCCTGCCAAGAAACCTGACCAGCCCCCCCGGCAGCCAGCCCGAGGAAGTGGGAGATACCCACAGCCCTGTGGGCCCGGCTACACATCAAATTTGCCAGGCCCTGCCAAGGGCAAACTTTCCTCATAGTGGTCAACGTGTACTCTAAATGGTTAGAGGTAATTCTGATGAAGTCTGCCACCACCAAAGCAACAATAAGAGCCCTTCGAAAACTGTTCTCCACCCATGGGCTACCAGACATCCTCAGCTTCAACAATGGGCCACAGTTCACCTCACAACCATTCGAAGGGTTCCTAGCCCAACTAGGAATCAGGCACGCACTGTCAGCTCCTGCACAGCCGGCCACGAATGGACAGGCAGAGAGAATGGTCCGAATGACCAAGGAAACCCTCAGAAGAATGGGCAAGGGGACTGGCAGGAAAGAATCAACAGGATGCTGTTGGCCCAACACATCACGCCCCATGCGACAACACACCGCAGCCCAGCAGAGCTATTGATGGGCTGAAGACTCCGATCAATGCTAGACATGATTCACCCTAATTACAGCTCTGAAACCTTGGTAGACTCCAC